CTAGACCCTTCATTTTCTGATGAAGGGTCTAGGCCCGAAACGTCAGCCTCTCTGCTCCTATGATGCTGCTTGGCCTGCTGTGTTCATCCAGCCCTGCACCTCGTTGTCTCTTGTTTATGTCAATCAAGTCAGGTTTCACTCTGGGATCAACGTTATCAAATATTACAATCAGCTGGGATCATAAAGTGGGGGCTTTTGCAGGATCATAGGTTTGTTCAACTTAAGAGGTATCTGTGAATCTTTGTAAATGAGCACAAGGAATACATGAGCATAGAAATGGAAGTTGCTGTGAAGTACATTATACAGGCTGGAGTTTCAAAATGGTTGTGACTGTTACTAAGATACTTCTGAGAATGGAAGGCGTGCCAGTGGATTATTTGAAATCTTTGACTAAGGCTAACCTGAGAGAGTTAGTGGAGAAATTGCAGGTCAAAATAAAAACAAGGTGCTTAAAAGTGATCATTTATCATTTAGAATTAAAAGGTCAGAAATCTGAAATTGATATGTCAAGGCTATAATTAGTTAAAATTCAGTTAGAATTGAAAAAAAAGAGTTAAATTAGAGGACAGGAAAGACAGACATGGCAAGACAGGATGAAGATTAAAAAAGAGCAATGGAAGGGGCAGAAAATGAAAAAGGAAAACAAATAGATTGAGGAGCAGAAATACAAAAGCTTACAGTAAAATAAATAAATAAAAAATGGAAAGAAAACTAAAACAGCTTGAACTCCAAAGACAGACAAAGAACTTAGACAATGTAATCTGGCTAGAGAAAAACTTACACTAGAGGAAAAATGAAAGGATAATAGTTCAGAGGATGATTCTGATTCTAAATGTTGAGTTTAATTTAACCAGAAATCTATGCTTAGTGTTTCCATTGGAAAGATAGCTGTGAACGTAATGTTTCAAAGTGTTCTGAAACAGCAATGAATGCGTACAGCAGTTTGTCAGAAGAGTAGCTTGCAGACTATGAAACTATTAAATAGGCAATACTCAAAGTTCATGAGCTTGTGACTGAAGTTTATCAAATAAAGTTTAGCTGTGTATATTGATACAACATGCATATGCATTGGGCACTGCTCAAATTTGGGTGTGCACATTTAAACAGGAAAAACTTGGTGCGTCGGTAAATGGGAGGGTGCAACTGTGAATAGGGGAGAGAAATTAGGGGCTGTAAAGGGGAGGAGGAGGGATGATGATAGGGGGGAGAGTAGGGGGGAGGGGAGAGGGTGACTTCTGAGCCTACCCCCTCAGGCCTCCTTCCTTTATCCTCACTCCCTTTCCCTGACCCTTGCCCTCACCCTGCTCTGCCACCCTGGCTCATAGCATCAGCAGGACACACATGTGATCCAATGAAATAAAATCGGATCAATGTTCAAATTTTATGTCACAACAATCCAAAGAAATAGGTGTTAGTAACGGTATTTATATCTGGGAACATTTTCCCCAGTGCTGACTATCTTTGATCGCTAATAACAGTACCTCCGCTGTTAAGGAACTCTTCTTTTTACCCGGGTTGTAAAACTCATGTCAGACACCTAAGCAATTATCTCCATAGAAGGTGACCATTAAAAACTTATCAAACTTATAACTTAAAACTTATTAAATCAGAAAGAAACTGAATGATGTGAATTATATAGGAAGCACTCCAAATAGGAAAGAAACATTAGCAAGTGTGTCATGTTAACTTGTTAAAGTGACAGAAAGACAGTCAGCTCAGAAGTATGTTTACAGTGGCTAAAGAAGTGGGAAATGAAATAACAATATTGGAGTAATTTGATAACAAATCTGAAATTGAATATTCAAATGTTCACTCCCCAGTAATCAGATTGGAGATAGAATATTATGTTACACTCACAAAACTCTCAAAGTGACTTACGAAAGCTATTAGACTCAAACTGATTCATGTAAATACGCCAGGGAAAATATCTTTGATCATATAATATTACTGTGGTGGCTGAATTACTTATAAAGCAACATCGTTACAGTCTTAACGCAGAAAAGACTGTCTAAATGAGGGAGAGATCAAGTTATGATGGGCAATAACATTAGTGAACCAAGTCACAGCAGCTGGAACTCACCTACTGTGATGGGGCTGAAACCGGATGGATCAACATTGTGTATAGATTAATGTAAAATCAACATAGCAAGAAAACACAATCCATACCCAATTCTCTGATTGGAGGACTATGGTGAAAGGATTGCACAAGTACAGCTTGCACAAAAACTGAATTATTGAAGGAATAGCTAGACTTTATCAATGTAAAGTCATGCCATTTGGAATTTAAAAAATGAACCAGCAACGCTTTAATGATTAACCAACAAAGTCACTTAAGAAATATGCAATAGTCTGGCCAAACCTGGAAGGAATAGTTACATCACTTGAAACGATTGTTTCATTATTTAGAAAGAGTCAATTTGGTCATAAACTTGGCCTAAAGTGAATTTGCCAAAGCAGAAGTGATATTGTGGGACAATGTTATATGCTACCTAGAGAAGCGGAAGTTAGGGATATGTGGGAGTCCCATGCTTAAATCAAAACAAGCAGTCACAGTATATCAGCGTGAGTGGATTCTTTTAGTACTTAATTCCAAAATTCAGCTTTTGATTTTTTTTTGAAAATGCTGGCGAATTTGAAATAGTAGTGAATTCCAAAGATTTATGACCATTTGAGAGAAGTAATTCCTCCTTATCTGTTTTAAATCTGCCATCACTTAGCTTAAAAATTCCAGATTGCCCCACAAGTGGAAACATCTGCTCTATACCTACTTCGTAAGTCCTCCTTAGATCTTATATACCTTAGTTAGATCTTTTCTCAACATTCTAAACTATTGCAAGTGTAGACCTAAACTATTCCATCTTTCCTCAAAAAAAATCCCCCCCACCCAGGCATAGCAACATCCTCTGCTTCCCCACTTGGGCTCAGTGGCACCCTCTCAGTCCCCCTCACCCAGGCTCAGTGGCACCCTCTCAGTCCCCCTCACCCAGGCTCAGTGGCACCCTCTCAGTCCCCCTCACCCAGGCTCAGTGGCACCCTCTCAGTCCCCCTCACCCAGGCTCAATGGCAATCTCTCAGCCCCCTTTACCCAGGCTCAGTGGTACCCTCTCAGCCCCCCTTACCCAGGCTCAGCGGTACCTTTCACCCCCATCCTATCCAGGTGCAGTGGCACCATCTCCTCACCCGACCTGGGCTCAGTGGCCAGTCATAGTAGTCCCGCTCCACCTCATGTGCACAGCGGCCGCACACCCCATCTGAACACTCAGACCCCTTGGAGCCCCAGGGTACCACTATTGTCCTGAGCCTTGTGTGGGAACACCAGCATGTACAAGTCAAACACCAGGTTGATATAGAAATCTCTCTCAGTTCATACACTGCCTCTGGGTAAAAACCGGAAATGGCAGCATCAACAGTGTTCCTATCACATGGCCTGCTACACTTAAAGACAGTGTCTCTCCATCAGTTAGAAATTGACAGTAAGCTCTTGCCTTACTGGTAATCCCCGACATTGAGTGAATAAACAAACAACTCCTCTGATGTGTGAGACAGCAGAATCATGTTCAAATTCTCAACCCATTGATAGTAATTACTGAACAGTGGCTGTCTCAGGTTGGGCCTGAGATTTAATGATAATGACAACAATATATTTTCTTCAGCAGGTTTTCACTTGTAGTCTATTCAATAGTGCCAGACAGTTGTCTCGCTCAAAGACAGCAAATGTACAATAACTACATAAACAAATGGACAGTACCTGAGGCAATGTTCTATTATAGGACATCAAATTGTCAAATTACCATCTAATTGTCAGAATTCAGAAAAAATGTTTATAATTACCATGAGCACTAGCTCTCTTATAAAACTCAA